ATGAGCTAAATGCAATTTAACGACTTATTATTATACAAAAGAAGAAATAGCATAAAGTGCAATATAAATGGTTAGGCTCTGATCTGGTTATCGGCCTATTGTGATCGTTTAAAGAGGCTAAAATCTAGTGTAAAAAAGATAACCAACTAATTTAGTCATATTATCACATGTATCTGAGTTTCCAAAGTGTTATCTGACTGAGAAATTACAATTAACAACTTATATCTAGGTATATTGCAAAACCGTAACGGTTGAAACACATAATTGCCTTCTCTGCATCTCATTAAAAACTGAACTCTGCCGCCTTCAAGTTTTTCTAAATTGCATTCATGGAGTTGTTTAAACCCTTTGGCAAATAGTTTATGAATATTTTGAACAACACCAGATCAAACCTTGCGATAACGTCAATCAGCACAATAACTTTATAAGTACATACACTACAAATTATCACACTATGTTGTGTCTACATGTTCGATCGCGTACTGAATTAGTTCCTTTCCGATTTAAAGACACAGAAGATAGTATTTGAACAAATGCTCCATCATCTCCGATGAACTTGGTAGATTATCATTGAAACAACTCTTGAGGGGAATGTTTCCCTATTTTTATGCAAGGTTAGGAGACAGACCTTAAGAATTGTCTCCTTTATAAACAAGCCTCTGGAATAGAGCTTTATTTCCGATTTGTTATGTTGCTTTGTTCCCCTTTTTACAAGCTCGATTAAATAGAAATGATTACAACGACTTGAAAATAGAATCAAAAAGCAAAAGAGACTCAGCACTTTACGAACAGTTGAGAATATAAAGGTTAATACGATCAATATTTCCTCTTTTATGACCTGGGGAGAGAAGCGGGTAGTAATGTGAAATGACTGTAGCTCAGGATGCAGATGTTGGTGTTGGTACGTTCTTCGAGCTGATATTGTTGTTCGCAGATGCCTTGCAGCCAGGTTAGACAACATTATCATCATCACACCAGAGGTTGCACTGATGGTTTTGCCTAACCTGGCTACGAAATGTTTGCGAACAACACCTCTTGCTAGGACAATACACCAACACCAATAGAGGTTGGGTTACGTAAACAGCCAGCAGTTTTAATCAGCATTTTGATAAGAAATCCTCATAAAAATAGTGTTTTTGAAACGTGTTGCAACATTCTAAGCCTTTATTAATTAGGTTAATTCACATTATGAGATGCTGTCTTACGTGCTTATCAATCAGTCCTAAAAATGCCTATTCATAAGCAGATCAGCATAACATAAATTTTTTATTTGGGTAAAGACGGTTAGATTTAGCTACTAGGACGAACAAAATACTAGCAAATGTTTTCAGGAGATTAGTAGACGTTTCATCACGGCAATGAAGGACCGAATTTCAGCAGGATAATATGAATTTTGTTTTTTGGGTATTCTCAATCAGATGCATACGTACAATGACAGTCAAAGTTAAACAACAACAAAGACATGATAAGTTATCGGACAAATGAGCGAACCGATTGAGCCAATCACAGACAGGGTGCATAGTGGGTCACGCATTACCCGTCTTTATGGTCTCCCAAAAAATTAACGAGGATGCTGTTCCACTAAGGCCAATTCTATCAATGGTTGGTGCAGTGCATTAGAAGCTGGCTCGTTGGCTATCAAAGTTAATCAAACCGATTCGTGACAATCTACCAATTTACAGTTGAAAAGACTGCTTAGAGTTAGTGGAGGAATTTCGGAATCTTAATGTCTTCGGTAGACATATGGCTCCCTATAATGTTTGTTTTCTTTTTACTATTGTTCCAATCGAAGAGACCATTGGCATAGTGTGCCAACAGAACACTGAAGTGAATTTTCCACCAGATTTACCTAAATCTTGGCCTCTATTGCGCACGAAAAACGTACAGTTCTCATTCAATGGGAAGTTATACAGACAGACAGATGGTGTGGCAATGGGTAGCCCACTTGGACCTGTGCAAGCTGATATATTTATGGTGCATTTAGAGCTCACTAAACTTCAGGAATCCATACATAAAACTCAGCTATATACCCGGTATGTTGATAGCACTTTCGTCATTGTTGTCAATGTGTATCAAGTAAATCAACTATCGGAGGACATGAACAGCTGCCACAAGGATCTTGAGTTTACAATCGAGCACAGATCAGAAGCCACTTTTCAATTCCTCGATATATACTTAACGAGAAGAGAAGATGATAGATTGAACCGCTCCGTGTTTTATAAGCCTACATGGACCGGTCAGTGTTTGAATTTCAAAACTTATAAATAATAAGCATGCCGTTGTTTGTATTCTATTCATGCGAGCTCGGGAAATTTGTCCAGAAGAGTCCTTGAACAGTAATCTTTCAATTAAGTCAACTCTACTCAAAAATGGATACCCCCCCTTAAAGTTAATTAAAAGGTTCGCGGAAGACACAACAGTTAAACAGAAAATATACAATGCACCTAAATAGAAAGTTTACTTGACCACCCCGTTCAAAGGAGACGAAAATGCCAATGAGGCATAAATCAAATAACCCACAAAACATTTAATGCAGTCTCACTAATCATTCTGCACAAAACCGAGCGCCTTCTCGTGAAGTCAAAGTTGTCAGGCCTGATCCTCAAGTTACCTCCTCTTGTATTTATTTATTCTGGTAGAACTGAAAGAAGGCTGCCAGTAAGCTTTACGAACACATTCTCAAGAATCTAGAGCTGAAAGGAGACAAAGTTCTTAAAGGCTCTATTGCTTGCCACATATTAAACTGCAACTTGTGTGTGGAGCCTAGCAAGTCCTTTAGGATCATAAGTAGACAAAAACACCATCGTCTACTTCAGTTTGCTGAAGCCTCTACCATTCTACGGCTTAAACCTAGTTGGTGTAAACAATTAGACTTTGTGGCCAGTCTTTCCATGCCCTGGTAAGACCGTCGTGTGTTCACTCTCCGTGGTTGACTGTGTGACCTTTACCCCTGTCCTGCAATTGACCCAATTGGTTTGCTCATTTGTCCGATAACTTGTCATGTCTTTATTGTTGTTTAATCTTGACTGTCATTGTACATAAGCATCTGATTGAGAATACCCAAAAAACAAAATTCATATTATCCTGTTGAAATGCGGTTCTTCCTCGCCGTGATGAAATTTCAGTTTTAGTTTGAACAACCATTAACCATGCACTTTCGTGCGCCGGTTTTGGTTGCTGTTTTTTGGCTGTCCATTGGGGTGAAGAATAGGAGAAGAAAGGAAAGTTGAAAATGGAGTCGAAAAGAAAATGGAGAAGTTCAGTGGACTAAGGTTGGAAAGAAATTGAGAAGATGCACGAACGCCACTGTTTACGACACTCAGCCATATCGCTCAGTGTCTCTAACCATCGGTTACGATGATNTAGATGTATCAAAGCAGTAGAGGCTCGTTTGGTCACGTGGTGAATTTCGTCGTGTAAGGAGCATAGGAATCGTGAATTGAAAATATAGGAAACATCAGATAACTGATTCGACCTGATTGGGTCTCATGAAAAGTGCAAATCTATCGATAAAACTTAGGATGGAACTCGGGGCCTCAAAAGTAGAACGCAAGCATGTAGTCCACCGGGGAGCTGATAAGACCGCTTTTTATTTTCAATTAACACGATATAGCACAAATCATCCTTGTGAGCTTGTTGCGAGTACCGCACCATGCGCATCTTAGCACTAGCCTCCGGGGTTATGGCTCGATTGGAAACGATCCATTGTAACTACTTGTTACAATCAGGTCAAAACAGCTGCTACACGGTGCTTCCTAGCTTTTCGGTTCAAGCTTACTTTGCCCTATTTATGGCAAAAGCCACTGCATAAATGTTTTGTTGTTGTTGTTGTTATGTCGATTTTGAAGGTCGCGCAACAGAACAAACATACTGAGATAAACGATTTTATCTTTCATTGCAGGCTTTAGACTTGATTCACATAATGGTTTCGTACTACCTACCTTTAGCTAATCAACTCCAAATATTATGCCCCCGCAGTAATGGCTCGGAAGGAGAAAGAAAATCTTGTTGCCAAATTCGATTACTACGCGACAGAGAGCCACGAACTCACCATACTTCAGGGTGAACGATTAACTCTATTGGACGATTCGCTTCAATGGTGGCAAGTGTTGAACAGTCAAGGAGAGGTTGGCTATGTGCCAAGCAACTATGTTCGCCCCGTGAAGCAAGTCAGTTGACCGTCTGTAATCGATCACTAATTTCAGTACAGACGTTGTTGAATAATTTGCGAAACACGTTGACAAGACGCAAAACGTCCAATGACAAACTTCCTAAACACTACACCCCACTGATGCCTCGTAGATACACGGAGAAAGATTGTGTACGACAAACATCGATGCCAGCTATGTCATTGTGTGAGACAGTTGAAACTCCAGGCCAAAACCACATCGAGAACAATCTGCGCGGGGAGCTGACTCCTACCAAACCGAAGGTGAGTGAGACAAAAAACCTATTTCTGATTTGGTCTGCTTGCAGTTGCATCCAGATACCGCGGTCAGCGACAATGAAACACAAAACAAAACAACAACAACCAGGGGGAATACAAGTAAAAAAGTTAAAATCACCACAACATATAATGAAGTGAGTTGTGTTGTGATGGATGAATTTTGAAGTTTGCATCATGCGCCCGGTATATTGTTTCCATAATTTCGAAGCCAGAAACTAAACGAAAGGTGATTGATTGGTTTGACCGTGATAACTGGTGTAACTATTCGCAGAGTTTTACTCTTCGCATATATATTGTTTGATAAGGAGGTGTTGATGTTGGGTGGCGGCCGTGGTTTGAAAAATGCTACACACGAACTAACGCAATCATGGCAAAGAGTCGCCTAATGCTACATTTTTAAAACTGAGAATCTCAAGGGTTTGTGCCTCAGGTATCTTTCTGAACCAAATATATAAAGTTAGACTCATGTAATTCACATATACGTCATTTTTGTGTGAAACATTGCTCATTCCCTGGCACGGCTGGTCGTACAGAGTTGACGGAATAAGGATTCTTTATTTCTTTGAGTTAATTATTCAGTTTGCTCGGCAATCTCCATTTTTTTTGGGAAATCCTAATAGTTCATTTTCAAAATAATACCCATTCAGTGAATTCACCGCTTTATGTGTCATATATGATGTTTGGTTCCTCTAAAGGAAGAAGCAAACTTTATGACGATTGCAAGTTTTATCGAAATCGGGTGCTGGAAACGTTTCGAGCGACGTCTCGAAGAGGCGGTCACGGCTTTGTAACCCCAAGTGCAAGCGTTAATGCGCTGTTTCAGTGGCCCCTCAGGGTCTATTCGTCATCCGGCAGATCTTAATGCAGCATGCGGTTTCACTCATCCTTGTCAGTTGAGCAGAATTCCTTGAGAGCTGTAGATGGTGTACTATCTCACCGAGGGTTTTAGACTTTAGTTACAGTTTACAAACTATTGCATCATGTCATATGAAGGTCTATGATAATCAGTTTAATCATGTAAATTTCACATGCGATAATATTGCATTCAAAATGAGTATTACCGATAATATGCTGTTAAAAACACAGGTCCCCGTATGTCACACGACAGCGCACTGTCCTTTGATACAGTCCGAGCCTCGTTGGCTCGTGGTCTACTGAACAGCATTTTTGAGTTAGCACCTTTTACTGATGGCGTTTGAAGAACTACATAACTTGGGATCATCAACATTTTGCCGGTATTGGTGATCGTTCCCGGTGGAATATTATCGAACGTTGAAATATACTTACTAGACACGAATCTATTACAAGTGGATATCAAGAAAGTAACAATAATGAAGCACATTTATGGACCTATTTCAAATATACGATAGAATTTAATCGCGCACTGCAAACCGTCCTTACGAACTGATGCATCTGCTTAGTAAGCAATTGTGTTCACGGGCCGTATTTTGTCTCGGATATCAGCATAACTAGGAAGATTTTACGTAAAAACCACTTCTGATGATTGAGAAATGAATTAGTAATGACGATCAAATTACACTCAATTCACTCCGGTGTTGATTAAGCCCGAAGAAAACACGTTTCGTTCATTGATAAAAGGCTCTGGGATTTATGAGCTTAGGTGTAATGGAAACAGTTGTTCTTCACTGTTAAGAAAACCTGCTTGGGTGCACATGTGATTACCATAACTAATAAAAAACCGAATAACATTTTGTAGCCTCATCACACAGCTGAGCTTTGCGGTTTGATGGGAAAACCTAATAACAGTAAATAAATGTTTATACCCACATACAAACATGCAGACCAAGAGGGACTCAAATGTTCTGTCAAATATTGATCGACAGGAAGCCACTAGTGATTTGTTTGACCTTAGTTATCATGGTACTATTAACCTCCAAAACGTTTGGCGTTTCCGTCAGAACTGACCTTAATTGACGTGAGAGGACGGAACCAGTACGATAAACGTGTTGAGGGAAAGGATAGATAAGGTTGGTAGTTATGAGAACTAACTGTTGCTTATTGGCTCACGAGCAGGAGACTTGCTATACACAGAAAGAAAATCCATATTTCAATCATAATAAAAAGCGTCATTTGTTTGATGATATTGATGCAATGAAGATAATCTTCCTCAGTATCATATTTAGTTTATATTACTTCAAAATTTCTCTTTTAATTCACAGTATATCATAACTAGTGAATACCAGTGCGGTGGATTATAAAAGGATGTGAACTTTGTAGACACAGAGACCGACTGTTTGGTTATGGAACCTAGTGATTGAAGTCCAGAGACTTGGAAAAACGAGCTACTTCAAGTCCCAATAGGATACCCATGGTGTTAAGCCAAGTGAGAGCAAATAAACCTATCGCAACGGAACTACTTTTAGCTTTTGATAAAAATGTTCTGAATGACTATTTAGTTTCATAGTTTCATAGCTTCATAAATTTAAGGAGTATAATCCGATATTCCCACATGGTGAGGCAAACGTCTTTTATAGCAAATATGCTAGACTGATTTATAATTGTTTCTCGCATTAGTGGCTGTTCCCCAANATCGGTTTAATAAAATTTGCTACCATGCAAGCCAGCAATAGGGAAGCACGGATGCTGAGCCAGATAGTCCAAGTAGGCAGCGATGTCGAATAAAAGACTTCAGCACCTGTCTTCCAGTCCTGGTGAATTGCTTGGGACGGCATTGGTGATGATTCCCGTAATGCGGAGGACAATAATACAATACCTGCAAAATATGTCAGTGGTGATGAGTACCATGTAAAAGAGAAACCCATATTCTGTCCTCGGGGTTCTTGCGAGGAATGCCACACTTCTCATGAAAGTACAGGCATTATTGTTGGTGCATTACCCATGCGAACTCATTGATACCAAGCAGTGCATATCACGCACCAGACACACAAATCTGACACACCAGTGAAGAGTAACGATGAGGAAACGAACTAGACAGATGAGAAAAATGTCTTCAAAAAGAATGCCTGATGGGTTGGGGACTGCTCAGCTTGAGCGGGCGGCAGATATCCAATGAAGTACGAAGCCTGTTCACACTGTTGCAAGGAATTCACAGATAACTCGCTTCTGCTTTCATCTAGCAGGGATTTTTGACCGATCATCTGCAACAAGGGTGAAAACGTTTTTTGGTGTTACACTCTGCTGATCATCAAAAATCAATAGTTGAGTGAATGTGCCTACCAAGAATAGATGGTTTAACTTGCTCATCCAAAACATTTGATTCTGTAGTTTTCTGTTTTAGTAAGACGTTCAGTTGACCAGTTTTATTTTAGATAGTGTAAAAGTGGTAGCAAATATGACGAATGCCCAATAATTATACAACTCTATGGATGTCAAGCTGATGCATAGCGACCTATACAGTCAGATTTTCAGGTGATCTGTCGCGATAGATGTCTCTTTAACTGGTGCCTAATAGGCTATGCGAACCTTAAATCATCTTTTGTTTGTGATACTCACGGAAACAAAGTTTTACTTCGGGGAGCATCCAACTTTCCAAGCAACTACCCAGATCTGCCCAACATGCTACCGCATTTATGCTCGTGCAGTTTTGTTCTCAGCACTAATATTTACAGGTACAGTTCAGGTTTAAACCTTCACTCCCCAACGCTTGATGTTTACTGAATAAATAAAATAAGACCGTCTATGCAACGCCAGTTTAAAAATCCACTGACATAATGGGTTTTCCAGTGCCTGTTTCATACAAGTAATGGTGTAAATAGAGAAAAAGTGACTGGTGTTGGTGAACGAAGAAGTTTCAGGTAACACAGTTCACCTTTTTGCCAGTTTACAACCAGTTCACATCGCACTGAGGCATAGTCACACTCAGCCAACAAATGACGTTGGTATCCGTAGAAGAAATGATATAGCGGTTAGTCAAAAGTTTAGATCACTAATCAGACTCTGTTGTGGTATTTCGGTTTTGATCTACTTCTCCGTGTC